TTTGTAGGGCTGCACAATTTTGAGCATTTAATAAAGATAGTATAATAATAATCTGATTCTGTTACAATACCAATATTTATGTCTTTTCTTTCTTCATTTTCAAACGTTAAACCTTTAAACATTAAACATCAAGTTTTTATTTTGGTGGAGGAAATCTTTAAAGTTTCTCTTTTTTGGCAGTTTTATAAACATTGCTCATTACAAAGCTGGTGAAACAGGTGGTGCATGTTGCATTCCTAAATGCATGTTACAAGCGAACCAAACTTCCAAAAGCCAAAAAGCTCTAGTGTGAATGTGCCAAGAGCAAGAAAGTCAAGTCAAAACGGCAAATTGCTGAGATTGCAATTTAACTAAGAGGTTAATCTGAAAGCACACTAGATCCATCTGAGACGGATTAAAACGCAGTCCCTGGCATTAATCCCATGAAACACATCAACGTGTATGTCACAGAGAGCAGAGATCACGGGTTCGACATCTATAGCTGATGGTCTTTCATCCAAAAATGGAAATTGTGTCATCATTTATTCACAGTCAAGTCATTTCAAACCTGTATGGCTCTCTTCTGCAGAACACCAAAGAGGACAAGTTAAAGAATGTTGTTTGTCCACACAATGGATGGACTTCGGACCACTGAAGAATCAAGTCATACAGGTTTGGAATGACACAAGGGTGAGCAAATAATTATTTTCACTTTAATTGCCACCATAAGAAGTTTTTCAAGTGCTCCACACATCCTCACCTATTTCCCTGGTTCCTTCTCTCCAAACTGTCTCCTTTACCCTTGGACGATGGCGTCTCCCTTCCACTCTCTTTCTCCAGTGAAGAAGACCCCAGTCCAGGTTGTGGTGTCCGCCTGCCATCCACCGGACCTCTCTGGATCCTCCCTTGACCCCTCAGCTTGGCCTCAGAACTCCTCCTCATGGCTTGGAGCTGCGCTAGAGGCACTATGTCACAGTCTTGAGGCCTGTGCCAGACCGTCTGCTGACTTGTGCAGTTGTAGTAGTAGAACCGATTGTTATTGCTGTCAAAAAGCTCCCACCACTGGTTGCCGTCCGACTGACGGACCGGGACGCCGGGCGGCAGTTCCCACCCGCACTCGCCGGTCAGCAGGTTGACGTACATGCGCTCCCTCGAGCGCGGCTCCACAATCTCCACCCAGTCAGACCTAGAGAGAGAGGACACATGGCTAATGTAGTCAGGATATGGGTGTAATAGTGCAATCTGTAAAGAAAATCAAGCAAGTGGTTTTGTTTGCAGCTTATTTATAACGAAAATGCAGTGTAATAGAAAATCCCAGCTTGTGAAATAAACTAAATTTTAACAAAAGCAAATGTAAAATGAGAGTGGAGGTTCAGCTCAGGTCAGCAGAAGAAAATGTAATAGTATCTTAATGAGATATTTAGAAGATGCCTGCCTGCAACATCTAATCCATGTGTTTTAGTTCAACAGATTTACCCTTTTACAATGTAGACCTGTGATTTAGGGACTGTGGAGGAAGGAGCCTGTTATGTGCTGTTGGTTTTATCATTTTTATTTGAAGTTCAGAGTTTTATTTCCATGGCTGCGCTCCACTTTGCTTTTTTATGCCCTTCCCTCGCTAACTTCTCTCTGACTCATTGACTCGGCTGTTCAACATTGCATATGATGCATGAGGGTCCACTACTAGGGGAACATTTGCAATGGGTTCACTATAAAAAAGGATCATGATTTTAACAGTAAAAGACTGTAAAAATGCTAAGGTAAAAACGTTTGGTTAAAAACTGGTTAACAGTAGGTTTCTGTATGGTGAGTAACTGTAATAGATCTAACCTTTCATTTAATGTAATTTTACAATAAAATACTTTTAA